ACCCAAAAAGACTTCTCTGTGGCGAGACTGAGAACCTCTTTCCACAATCACAACGTTTCAAATTTTGGCCTCCCTGCGGGGGATGAGAGGGGCCGAGATGTGTGTTTGTGTATCATTAGTTGCTACACTGGTGAAATCAGTTCAAGTCTCAACGACATAGTGCTAGGTGAATCATCACTGAATGATTTAAATTATGATCCATCACCATCCCATTTCAAAATCTGTTTTGGACAACTGCATAGCTGCATAGCTCGGCGTGATTGCTTTTCTCTCGACATCATCTTGCATAGAAGTGTCTTGGTTGATTTTTTTACGCTACATCACCCCCCTTATACAAGCCTTTGGATCGCCAATTTGTCTATCCCAGCTTCGCCGCATTGCTTTCAGGCCTGTTCTGTATTCACGACTACGAAAAAATGGATCTCGATGGCAAACCATTGTACAGACACTCAAAGCTCGACTTCAATCGCTTCCGTAAAAAGCCCGTCGGTATGTGATATCTGATTCCGGCTATGGCAAATATCAATGCTAATCCTGATCAAGACAAGCCTCCATCTCCGATGCATCGCTCCTCTGAAGCCTTTGTGAACCGGCTCCCTTTTCTATATTCGAAAACCGAGGAGATTGTCTGGAAATGGGAGCAGTCCAAGTTCTGTGGCCAGAGCATCAACACTACCTTGCAATCCACCATCATGCCACAGGATCACCCTTCCAACAGACCGGACAGGGCAGACAAATTCGTTTGTATGCTGAATGGAAGTGTCGTCGTGAAACCTCCGGCCTACCTGACGAATCTGAAGCCGGAGGATTATCAGGTGGGATTTCTGCATACAGAAAACCTGACAGATATGAAGATCATTCTCCTTGGGCTACCCGAATGGAAAAGACCTTCCAAAGTCCGGGAAAGCATGCTTCGTTTTGAGAATTTGCTGGCCGGGAAAAGTTTTCCACTCTTCTACAATTGGTCAACCGAGTACTGGATCTCAGATTCGGTCATTCTCGATCCACGGTCAACCGATGAGGTGGAGATGATCAGTAAGGGGAAACGGACGGCAAGTAGTCAAGATTTGAGGTACCTTTGCGCCGGCCTTCCGTCAACCACGATAGGACCTCTTTTCAACACGCTTGTGACCTCGGGGAATGCAGACCCAGCCTGCTTTGAGTATTCGATGGGGTTCATTTGGATTCATGCGTCGATAGATGGGAGGAACTTCGAGATAGACCTTGACACTTCTATCTATCCGTCTTGCGATCGCGTTGATTACATGCTACAACAGATGAGAGAGAGGTCGTGGTTGGTTCAGGCAAAGCTAGCGATCAAGCTCGAGAGGTCCAGCAGGGTGAAAGCCGCTATCTCGGTTCAGGTTCTGGGCGTTTCTCAAATTCGCGTCACTTCTACTCATAAACCAATTACTCATCAGTAGGATGTGTTTCAGAGCCAGGTGCCATACCTTCGCCTGGGCCATGCTATTTGTGTCAAAATGTCTCTTCAAATTCCATCATCTTCATATCAAGTTAAAAACAATTGCGTTATTCGTCGCGTTGCCGCTGTACCGGAAAGACTTACCGAAGGGACGAATTGGTATAAAGAATCGGCCACTGAGCAAAGATTTACCTCTGTGTAATACGTAATATCGACTGACTCGGTTGGTAGGTATATTCATAAAAGGTACATTTGAAAAGCCTTTGCTGTATTCGCAGAAGACAGATGTAGTGTATAACACGTAGAGAAAGCACCAGAGTGGTCCTAGTCCAAAAATACAACAGCTGCTAGTCGTAAGGCAAGAGTGTAGTCAGCGTGAGAGAGCCCATATGACGAATTCTTGATGAATCTATGCATAGATAGTGTCCATAGAGGCCCCTGAGCCAGCCGAATTTTATCCCCGCTGCGACCGCCGGGTCTGCTCCGTCTTCTGCTCCGGCCCAACTGGCGCATCAGTCATATCACTTTTGATCCGCTCCTCTGCTTCCGCCTCGACAGCCTCCAGCCGGTGGAGAAGGTCTGCCAGGTCCCTGCGGAGATCCTCGATACACTTATTTTGGTCCGTCAATTTACAATCTAGGGATCTGGCCTTAGGTTAGCCCTTTGTGTATTGCTTGGAGGAAATGTAAAACTCACTTCACCCGCACGTCTAATCTTCAAGTATCATCTGTTAGTAAAGACTTTGCTTTCACGGTAAGGGGTGACTCGGACTAACTCTGCGAGGCATGTGAGGGTAAGCACGTTGCTATCTCTGGGCTGAGATAAGTGTCCGCCGTATTGAGGACTCGGAAGCACCCTGTGATCGTGGGTACTGGGAGGATTGCCCTGTTGCGGAGCAGCTTGATCATTCTTGTTGGAGGGCGTCGATGGCTCTTCCTCGGTAGTGTCTCCAGACAGAGGTCGGGATGGGCTTCGGCTGTATTCGGACTCCGAGGATGACAAGGACAGTGCGCGCTGCAATCGACGTCGGAAGTCTGGCATCTGCCGGGTGTATGGAATTTTCCGAATGGCTCCCATAGTCGTGTATCGAATCAAGCGGGGTGCTGCCGACAAATAGACCTGTTTGAAAGTTATGACGGGAGTCGCTCTTATATGATTCGTGACGGGTGACACTCTATATATGTGAAAATAGATTCGGCGAGCAAATGGTCGCAGTGGAAGAGGCCATCCCCCTGAGCCCCGGCCAGCCATATCTGGCCTCACATCGTGAAAATTCAAAGCGGGGCCCAATAAGCATTTGGCCACACTTCAGCGGAGTTTCAACGGGACAAACGTTGACTAACAAGCTATCTGCACGAAGTGAACGTCCCAATCCGCGGCTTGCAGAAAGTTGGATTCGCGGTTGGAGTTGCAAGTCAGCGCCCAGCGATTGGTGCCGCAAAGCTGTCACTTTCAATGTGTCCTACTAGCAAAGATTCATCTGCGTGCACATCGGGCTGGATAATCTTGTAACATCCTAGCAGGGGTCAATCGAACTGATAATTTAATTAAAGATTCGTTCATTCAGTGCCTATATTAGATAAATGTAGTGAGGAAGGGTAGATGCGTCCAAAATTGGTAGCATGCATCGAGGCAGCTACGATGGCAAAGTCTACAAACACAAGTTCGAGGGTATGGTCAGTCGATTTGCCAGAGCCAGCCTATTCTTTCGAACTTACCAGCCAAGTTGAGAGTCGTTTGACCTTTGTCAACAACGTTGAGGCATTTTATTTGTCAGGCCTAGACCCAGGAGAGCCAAGGGACCAGGTGGGGCGTGCCACTCCACCCGCTCTCTCCGCCCCGAACTCTTGAAATTTCTTATTTCAACGTTGATAAACCGCCTCAACACCCACGAAATTAGGGTCGCCCAGTGCGAATTTGAAGTCAAAATCTCTGGACTCGGCAAAATTTACGCAAGTGGTCGCTGCCGAAACCTCTACTCAGAATAGCATAAAAGACGCTCTTTTCCCGTCGAAAAGAAAAGCAGGACTTTCCTCCTCACACTCCGGGCCTCGCAGCCTTGGGGTGTCTTTTGCAGGTAAGATCTGCGTTACCAAAAAGTCTTCGCGCGAAAGGCCCCGCGTAATCAAGTTTGCCTCGCAGGGGACGCTGCGTTACCAATTGAGACCCGCAGGAGAGTGTTGCGTCAACAAGTTCTCCCTCGCAGCAATGAGCCCTGCGTTGTAACAATGTGCTCCGCAGGGACATCTGCGATATCACGAGCCTCCGCAGGGACATCTGCGAGATCAAGAGTCTCCGCAGGGACATCTGCGACATCAAGAGTCTCCGCAGGGACATCTGCGACATCAAGAGCCTCCGCAGGGACATCTGCGACATCAAGAGTCTCCGCAGGGACATCTGCGATATCACGAGCCTCCGCAGGGACATCTGCGACATCAAGAGCCTCCGCAGGGACATCTGCGAGATCAAGAGCCTCCGCAGGGACATCTGCGAGATCAAGAGCCTCCGCAGGGACATCTGCGACATCAAGAGCCTCCGCAGGGACATCTGCGAGATCAAGAGTCTCCGCAGGGACATCTGCGACATCAAGAGCCTCCGCAGGGACATCTGCGACATCAAGAGTCTCCGCAGGGGGACGCTGCGAAACCAAGGGAGACCCGCAGGGACGCCTGCGTTACCAAGAACCTCCGCAGGAGACCGCTGCGACACCAAGTTCTCCCTCACAGCCCTGAGCCCTGTGATTGTATAATCTTGAGCTTCCAGGCAGCCTTGAGCCCTGCGTTATCAAATTTGCGCTCATTAGGCGACCCGTGGCGCCGCGGTCCTCGTCCTGATCCTCTGGCCATTGCAGGCACCTCTTCGTGGTGTCAGAGACTAGTATTCGGGGTCGTCAGATCCCGAAGAAGCCAAGACCTGCTCCAAAGAATCAATAGAATCAAGAATCATCCCGCATACTTTGTGTCATGCCCTTCAGCCTGTTTGTAGAGTTCAATAGCCAGGTTCCTGGTTCGCGTGTAGTTTTAATGTAGCCTTGAATCACGCCCTGGCTTTCGACAATGGGCATTTCTTCAACGTAGTGCGAAGTAGAGCACTGAGTCATCGGACCAGTGGGGATCTCAGTGTATGATAGCTTGGTGGCCGATCCGAGCGACGCGTGCAATCCAAAGTAGCCTCCATTTGTGTGAATGCGTATCTTTGCTGGCTATCAGTGGTAGCAAAGTTGTCGCGACGTGATGAGACGCGGGTTATCGACAGTGAGTAGGTAGTGTTGGCGTGCTGATGAAGGCGTGCTGATGGTGAAGACGTGTTGGTGGTGAGGACACGTTGATGGTGAGGGCTGGAGATGAGGGCCGGAGGTGAGTGACAATTGAGAGTTGGTGATGATCATGATCGATGGGAACCAGTGGTCAACATATTGATTTGCGACGCGGCGTAACTGCCGAGCGGTGAAGTGGCTGCCAACGGTGACTAACGTGGTCAACCACCGAGTGGGCCACACCACCGAGTGGGCCACCTATTCCCACAACCACTACGTTTTGTATGAAAAAAGCCACCAACACCAATTAAATTGCAAAAACTAGGCGTTATTATTGAGCGGGCACCTATTGCGCTTATGCCCTACCTTCCTACAATTACCACAACGTTGTGGTGGCCTCTCATTCGCCGATCCTGCTGCGCGCGGGGGTGCCGATGGTGTAGCGATATTGGTTTCATTTACCAATTGTAGACGAATTTGCATATCCTCCACAGTAATACCGCCCTCGTAGGCAATTTGAACACTATTTATAGCATTCTTGCGCTGTTTCCGCCCATTCTCAGCCATCACGCGAGTCATATTGGCCTTTAGAATAGCATGGTTATTTGCAAGCTTTTGGGCACCCTTGCTAACCTGCTCCAATTGCTGTTGTATGTCGGTATTTATAACTGATTGCTCTTCAATTAAGTGATTAATTGAAGCTATTTGCCGTCTGAAATTGACCGATTTGTATGGTGTATGTGGTATAAAATCATTGCTGCTATTGCTACCGCGTGATGGTGGTGGTGTAGTGTTACGGACCCTGCAACATGAGGGGCCGCGACCTACAAATAGGCCATCGAGAGCCAACCATTCTACAATCACCACGACCGCCCGCAGGTCACGTGCAAAACATCACGAGAAATCATGGTCTTCCCACCGGAGCCACACGATACAGAATAACTGGGGTAATCAGTGAAGAGGCCATGATTAAGTCAACTACCTGGGAAGGACGCTATCTTGCGCTCAGCTAGATCCTACGGACCGAACCGCCCCACGATGACACGATCCCCACGATGACCCATAACCCACGACGGAAAGGATCTCACGGACCAGACTATCGTACGAACAACCACGAAGTTCTAACCAACCCAGAGGAACTGAGGCATATCGTGAGATGGGATCCGTTGCAAGGACAAAGGGATCGCACGACTACCACGTGACCACGACTGGTAGATGGGTATCTAGATCGACGGGTAGAAGGCGCCAAGCACCGTCTACCACTCTACCATCTACCACGAATACCACCAAGGAGGACTAGGATATAAAGGACGCTCATTATACACATGTATTTAGTTCTTCGCGATCAATCAATCTAAGTTACTACAGTATACCTTCGGACTACTCTTCATTCAGTTTCATCTCTTGTGACGAACATACTACAAGTAGGGGAGCTCTTCGGACTGACCTATTTGGCGCTCTACCTGGCACATCCTTCGAAGTTACTCAACAGGATCCGAGTCCGTGTAAGACTTAGTACAGCAACGGTACGATTGCGAGTCGATACTTAAGGATTACGAGTGATAGACATCACGTACGACCAACGACACAGAGAACAACTGGTAAGTTGTTTACCAACGATCTAACCACTCACCGTGACCAGTTAGCAACGCGTAACACCTGGTTCATGCAATTATAAATGGGCACATGAGTAAAGTCAAAAGACTAGCCTCATCAGAACGCCACCATGCCGTTCCGGAATGGGCTGGTCCCTGCGGAATACAAGGATTGAGACCTGTGGACTTAAAACTCCTCACACAGTAGTTAAAAATTAAGGAAACCAAATTATATACAGGATGGACGTGTATCCTATATACAATAGATTTCTGTCCTTTCAAGGTTGGTGGACTCTCTCTTTGATTCTATCAGCCACATTGGCTATGCAGTATGCACATTTTGATGAGCACTTACAAATTCCACACTATGAGAAAAGTGAGAAAGACTTTGACTGATAATTTTGAGTACTGGTTGTCCTCCAGGTAATGATCCATAGTGTGGGGTGCGAACATCAAGACGTCCGTGCTAAGGTTCGTGGTAAACGCAGAGTTGGTTCTGCTAGCGAATTTAAGCCTTCATTCTCGGTATAAAGTCCAATTTTTGTTTTCATGTAAATATTCTCTGTACTAGTATGTTTACTGGCAGAAAAGGGTGAGACAGGCTGACATTAGTCGCCTCCCTATGTATGCGTAGCGCAAGGCTTCTACTTGATGGATATGGCTCGCTGAATAACCTTGAAACTTGATTCGAAGGGTTTCAGTAACCGACATACCCACTAGACCTGCTATAGTGAGCCAGAGTATGAAATGTTAGACTGCCAAATGCGAACTATGCTTCCCACTGAAAGTGCTCCAAGCATTCGTACGCACATGAGAAGTCATGAAATCTTCATCCGCCTCATCAATACACCCGCTGTGGAGGAGTTGGGGCGCTACCTCTTCGCTGGTAGCATGAGTGGCATAGCTCACGCTCCTGATAACCAGGATTTGCTAACGCTTTGTGGCGTCGGTTTTTATCCCGCCGACGTGTCATATTGTATTGCATGAACCGTATTGTTAGCTAGGACGTAGGGGTTCGTGGACGGCCCGGCGCACAGGCTGTGAATCCGTGCGCTGCAAATCCTCGTGTTCTACCCGATCAAATATTCTATAGCTGATTCGCTCTCTTTCTCAGGGACTGGCCCTTCCATTATTCCTACGCAAAGGAAACTGCATACGAACATACTATTATACGAATCAAGTGTAGAGTGGAGGGAACTCCAACATCGATTCTTGGGGCATAACCGAGTTGTTTACGCGAACTGAACAGAAAAATGGGGTTTGTTGATTCTCATTATTCAGACATTATGCACACACACCAAAGGAGTACTCGTTGTAGTCAGATACAAGATAATCAATCCATCAACCATATGATCAAACCTAATTAACTAGATCACCTACGACGAGCAGCCTGATCTCACTGACATTTTGGCCCGTTTGACGTTAAAGTCAGCGATAACAACGCCAGGCACTACATAGGAGCCTCGCGCTAAGACGCAAGGATCGCCATTGGAGGCTTGAGCTAGTTCTCCGCGAGTTACCGATTCGTCTTGATGCGTGCATAGTTTGCGCCCGTCAGGAAGGATCGACATCCGGGAAGATATTCCGGCCATTAAAAACGGTCCTCGGCAAATCCCACACGTTTACCATAAAAATGCATGGCAGAATCACAGGGGCCTGGGATGCCCCAAAGGAAGACTCTGGCCTTTTCAGGGGCCTGTCATAAGGTATTTTTGTCTTCTTATCTTGAATATAGTCTCAATTTCCAAAGTCTGCCCCATGCATTATCCAAGGCAAGGAGATTGCATAACGGCGCAGAAAATAAAGAAAATTCCGACTACTTTGGCAAGGTCGCTGTTGCCATTTGTGCGCGACCAACAGGTGATCCACATTCCAGCCCTGTTACATTCGGCCAACATGAAGGCAGCCTTTGACACACCAAATGCCATGGGATTTTGGTGCAGCGGGAAATCTTTTTGGGATTTCTTATTTTTTTTCTTTTAAAAAGTCTGCTTTCTGGCCAAGCCACAGAAACTCCTTTCAAAGTTGCTTCACAGACCGAATAGCTGGGATTTAGCCCTCAATTAACGCTTGTACTTTTGCTATTGGCTCGTAGATGTCTCATTTCCTCTCATGCAGTGGTCCTCATGATACGGCTGACGGAATGAACCGTGCTAATGAGCATGTCAGACACAAAAGGGACAGCCGGCCCCTCCAGCCAGGTTATATATGTCTGGGGTAGATTCCACACGCCAGATTTTGTCAGATCTGGCAGTCGACACAGATGTTCCTTTTTGCCTCCTCACTGACAGCGTATTTGCGGTTCTTCTGAGTGTACAGTGGCATTTTTAGCCTGAGGGCTCTCCCATTTTCGCATCCCAGTTTGGAATTTTGCCAGGCTAAGGATCAACTAAGACAGCTTTGGGCACAATTTTGGTTATAAAGAGAAGTGCATAGGTCTTTATCTCATGAGATGGTAGCCACTTGTGCTGAATTATAGATTTAAATATGCTGACTGCTAGTCAGGAGAAAGCTAATCTACCCGCGGCCGCAAAATTGAACAAAATGCCATCGACACAATTTTTACTCGTGTATCTCGACGCGAATGGAGAAATCCGTCTAGAATCATCTGGGCCAATCGCGGATAGTTGCCACACGGTACTATCCATGAAGGTGATTGATGCATTTCTGAGAGCTGGTCAGATGTCTAGAGAAGTCTGCATCCCCAACCACCAAGGTAGTTATCACTATCATCCTAGCAATGATCTTAATTGATGATAATTAGCAGTCGAGCCCAGCGTAACACTTTCCCTTTGTCAAAAAGAGCCGGACACAGTGAAAGGTTTTTCTCATCCATCGATACCCATCCAGACGCATTCTGGAGGCGCCGAGCTTGCGAATAATCGGCTCATGAGACAGCCTATCACCGAGGCTGCTAATTTTCAGCCTTTTTACAATGAGCCGTCACCCTTTTTCCCCAGCAAATCTTCCGAATATAAATGGCAGGGCTTTTCCAACGAAACATACAAGTCTGTGGGCGACAAGAAAGCCGCGATATCAGTCAAGAACCATGATCTCTTGACCCTTTATTATGAAAAGGCCTTCGAGAATATCCAGCAGACCAATTGCCGGACTCTAGCTAAAGCCTATGTTAAGCTTGTAGAGCCTCAGAAACAGGTGAACTACCCATACAATGGACGTAAGGTCATCGCAGGTACTAAAAGCCAACTTGATCCTACTGAGACTAAGCCACCGTGGTGGCCCTCGAGAGTCACCCATCGGGAGCCAGATCACCTTCCTAAATTTGGTAAGCCCATTATCATAATGTAGATGTTAAGGTAGCTAACCTGACAAAGAACGCATCCAGCTTCTAGTTCATATTCTTCGTGAGATGCGCACCAGCCACGGGATTTCGGTTGCAAAACTTAGAGAAGCCGATCAGCAAGTTCGCCATCATATTAATCCACCTGAACGATTGCACATCCTGGACGAGTTATATCGAGTCAGGCAACAAGAGGAGGGGTTATTAGACGGACACAATGGTTGGCTTTATGGCACACCCTTCAATCATGAGCTGTTTTAACACTTACATTCCTCTGCAGATGAGCAAACGACGGCTTGGATCTCCCACGCAAATTTTCCTGGGTCTTTAGCGGCTCCTAGCCAGACAAGCAATACTATCAACAGCGGCTCTATCCACACTATTTTCACTCGAGATAGAAAGACGCCGGACCACTCAGTATCAGCATGGAGCAATCATGCCCTCGGAACCAATATTGACAAATATGATAAGAAACATATGGTCTCGTCAAAAGCCGGTTCTGAATATGGCTCTTCGGTTGCTACTCGGCCTTTGAAGAGGAGACTCAAAGTTGCAGAGATCCACTCAGCAGCTAGGCCAAAGAGCTCTCATCTTCCTACGCCCTATCCCCTTCCTCCTACTATTATTGATCAATTACCTCTGGTCGACTGCTATGACCCGGCTTTTCTGATCCAGCCTCTCAAGCTTCCAGAACTCAGCCACTCGGAAACCAGCATGCCAAATAAATCATTGCAGCATCAGGAAAAGTGCGACATCTATCTCCAGAATCCCACCTTCGACACCTCAGCCCAATACTGGCCAATGCTGGATCCAATCTGCCACATCACCCCCAACATTGGTGTACCACAATCCCAACCACTTGCCCCAGATCCACATTTTAATATGCGGTTTCCCCCGATGTCGATTGATGGCATGACTGCTCCTGGGACATCAGCCTGTTCACTCCCAAATCCAATAGCACCGAAAGCTGAAGCAGCTTACGAAGCGGCTTATGACCCGACTCGGAGTTTTTAGCTTAGCCTGATGCAGAAATTTCAAGGCATTCGTGGCCCTCGGTATAACCTATAACGGATCGAGCTTTCGACTTGGATTCTGTAAGAGATCGAAGACAGTATCTTCTTTTTGCGCTCTTCTGGCTTCCATCTGCTGTACTTGGCCTCTTTTCATCATTGCGGTTTTGTCTTCTATCATATTTATTCCCAATAAGTGTCGGGCGTGAGCAAGCATTGTTTTGCAGGATCTGTCATAGTTCTTCTGATCTACTTGCCTCATATACTAGGGTTGAGTTCTTCGTGTGAGATAACACGCTACGCGCCGTACTCAGAGATACCTGTCAACCAATTCTGAATATTGGTTAAGATCACGTAAACGCTTGGTGGTGCCATTGGTCAGCGGTTGGTGCGACGGCTTGGGTGAGAACGTAAGATTTTTTTCATGATGATGGAGTTGCATGGTTGAGTGATTGAAGGAGACTTTAATCCACTTCCTGGTCGGACGGGAAGTGTAATAGTTTCTTGTTTGTGGCCATCATGTCAGCGCTGTCGATTAGTCGGGTCTCTCTCTCGCCCTATTTCATTTCTTGGCGTGCATGGCTGGTTGGGTCTCCATGTAAATTAGAGATCTTGTGTATGATTTATCACGGACAACCTCGGTATATCGCATCCAATGGTCCGGATATCACAATTTTAGTACTTTCAAAGTCAATGGAAGGCCGATCCAGCCAGCATCACAGGCCCGAGACTACTTGTTGCATAATTCATTACTCGGGTTGGTATTCAAGTTCAGAAAGCTTCACGCCACAATGCAAAAACTTCTTCACAGTCTTTCGTACCTGGTCCCTGGTACTGGTGGCCGCCGAAATTAGATAGAAATTAGCATATGTGAAGCGGGAACCGGGTTACAGGAGGACCACGTACCCATCACTAAGGCCCTTGCTCATCGCGAATGTTCGGTAGCCTCTCGATCTGGTCTCCCGATGCCTCGAGCGAGACTATATTGTCATAATCGGGTACACCTTGGTAAAAGCAGGCTCTTTCATGTTTTCCTATTGGCGTCTTATCATGAGCAAGCCCTTTTTCGACGTAGATTGAAATGCTGAAAATCTGTAGACGTATTTGCGTCAATACTAAACAAGGTTTCCATTTTGAAGCCGGCGACATACATAGCCTTTATCTATAATATCGTCCTCCAGGAGGGGTTGAGCAGGTCCTCGGCTGCGCTGACCATTTCTAATTTGTTAGTGCTGGTGCTGGCTGACTGGAAACGGAAGGGTCTTCTCACCGATTGATTCTATCTGCCATACCAGATGCAGCCGACGGACGTGAAGAGTACAGGTATTATAGCCATGTATCGTCTTCTTCACGTATGGGATTGTTGTCGCGATCCCAAAACCGCTCGCAATCAGTAGCACGGTTTTATACCCATCAAAAATCTCACTGGTACCGTGTGGACCTGTGAACATGGCCAAGAATGACATATGGCTCTCATGAGCGCCAGCTTTAAGACGAAAAAGATCTAGGGTCATGCCACTCCGTGGATGTACAGATAACTCAATGGTATCATGTCTTCCACGCGACCAAGATAAGACTATAAAGGGTGGGTTTGGATCCACGACCAGAATCCAACTGATGGCGTCCACAGGTTGATATACTGGCCCGCATCTATCTTGATTGGCCGGGGCAGAATCACACGAATCTGGGCCGCTTTTCTTAGCTTAGGATGTGCAAGAGAGCCGTCTGGAGTGAAGGATACAAAGGCCCGAGGAGCACCGTGACCCGAAAATAGTCCGTTCGTGTAACAAAGGCTGACAATCTCCAGTGCAACCGCGTTCTGAGCTACCGTAACGTTTTGGCCCTAATGTTAATTCGCATATAGTATGATTCTGTGCGTGATCAGTAAATGACATTCAAAATTTACGTTACTTGAGGTGTGTAGCTACCAATATAGAGATGGCTGTAAACTACGATCAACCACAGTCAAACTGTTATGCAGTATAAGGTTCCCCCATAAATGACATCTGTCTTGTTTTACCATGGAAAAGGCTTCCAAATAGGGATAAAACCAGAATCCCAAAGAACTTGAACATTGGAGATCCAATTATGAAGCGCAATCTGCCCCCGACTCGCAACTAACCTTGCCTCAAAGCCGCGCCCCCCTTTTTGTAAACATTTGTTTCTCTGATATCGTGATTATAACCTCTTTAAGTAGATTTCGTAATGATTTTCGCATCATCATCGTTGTATTTTGAGTTGTAGCGTTTCATTTCTGTTTCACAGTGGAGAAGACTCTTTCTTTCAGGGCTTACGCTCTTTCTATCCAAGAATATGTTGGCACCATAATCGACATTGCTATTAATTGGGACTGGTGCGTTAGGGTGCGAGATACTATCACGATTTGGATGCTTGCAGCCCGACTCAATGGCCCCAGTTTCGTTCGCACGTTGGCCTGCAGAAAGAGCGAAATCACCGGAATCAAAAGTACGTTCGTTCCTTTATTTCCGTAAGCAAGAAAGTGGGCGGGATTAGCTCCTTTAAGATTACCTTGAACCACTTGTCAAGCAAATACCCAAGAGGCTGCTTTTCGTATAAACTGAAGTGACGTTTCTCACTTTCAGAAAGCGGCTGCAAGAAGTGCAATTAGCGTCACAACTCGAGATCTGTGATAAGGTCCAATGCCTACTTCCAAGTTCGACGTTTTGCGCTCGGTCTTCATTTTCAGTAAGCCTGAGAATGATTTATGCAATAAGCACCAAGAGAAGATAAATTCATTTCAGCGGGTTAATATAGGATGAGTAAGTTTTCTATCGCCACGGGTAGATGTGCTAATGACGTATTACTAGGCCTCACCAAAACCCGCCCACCGCCAAAACCCGAGGTCTAGTCCTCACGTTATATGAAAGGTGGTACGGAACACGTGATGCTCAAAACGTTTCGGTTCAACAATATTCCGTAACGGAGGAATTTTCCACGGCTCTCCTGCCCTTTCATTAGTTCATGTTGTGATCAGCTTCCAAGGCCTCGAGGCATCAGACTGCCGGGCAGCTGGTGTGGATGCATGAATTATAAGGATACGGGCATGTGTTCCGTCGGCTGCATATACTTTGGCGATGTCCTCAGCACGTCAGCCCGCCTGGCTCGAACTTCTTCCAAGCGAAATACTCGGTGTGGTTGTTAAGTGTCTCTTTACCAACGACGTGAAACATCTTTCGTGTGTCAGTAAACGATTGAGGGACGTTTCAACACCATACTTATTCCGTGGAGTTCGATTTTCGTTCTCTGATTCCGGTCTCCTTGGACTACGAAGGCTTATGCTATCCGACGTGCGCCAATACGTAGTCTCTTTCACGTATGTGATCCCGGAACTACTCCGACCTGGTAAGTCCACTTAATTTGCATATAGAAGAGTTTACTAATGGGGTGGGAGAAACGACGGACTTTGAACATTTTAGGCGCAGTATCCTCCCACCTGAAAACTATGCCGCGTGTGGGAGTTTTCGATCTGGGCTACCAGTCCCATACATGCTTGTCTATGATACCTTCAAAGCTATATCTATAGAACAACAAGGTCTCGTGGAGAAACATGAGGATGTGACTGCGCTGTCGGCTGTTTTCAGACGGCTTCCCCGACTGTCAGAGCTCAACTTGTGTTTTTGCCAGACCCTTGCCAAAGAGCACTGGATGGCACTTTTCATGGATCAAACTGTGGAAACCAGCACATACGGGCATCATTTACCTGTTCTATCAAGCTTCCTGAAGGTTGGAAGGGATTTCGGTATTTCTCTACACACTGTTCACTTATCCTGTCTTGAGCTTCCTTACTATTGCTCATTAAACACGCTTGAAGCGCAGAATCTACGCGCTCACCTATTTAACTTGTTGGAAGACTGTCGAATATTACGCCTCAGCGGATCTGGTTCACCGTTGAAATCACTATCCCGCGCAAACATGCATTTTACGCAATTGGACCTGTGCCTTCTCACTGTACCTCAAGCTACCCTGCATGAATTTTTCCTGAGCAATGTGGTAACAACATCTTTTGGATTCCACGATATAAATCTGCTTGGTTCAGACGGTTCGGAGCCTGATTCAGCCGTACTGTCCCCAAACCTGGCTCGCAACAGACTTGGCATTAATTGGTCTGCCATATGCTGGACGAGTTCCCGTTGTCCTATTTGCGGGTGCGATAGTTGGAAGCTGTCAAGGACCTGACATGGCGAGCAAGTAGATGCAAATCCAGAAGATCGGTAATCGAAGTGAAGCTGATCTTTCGCACCACGAGATGAATCCGGCTCACCTTCGCATGTGTGGCGAAGCAGAGTATTCAATGGGAACTATATATTGTGTTATTGCTAGAGCCGCTGTCGCCTATGACCTTTTGCTGTTTCACTTGCTTGCGAAACTTCAGATTACTTTTTAAATGCAGAACACGTGTTTTAAATGATGTTATATTTATTCAGTTAACTTATATTCCTACACTAGTTCAATGCGCAGTAATTCTTTTGCTTTTCGACAAATTCAGCCAATATTTGAACGACATCCTCATGTCCTTCATCCAGAGCGAGCATGAATGGAGTCAACCCATCGTGGTCTCTCGAATTCAAATCGATATCTTGCCGTTCCATCAAAGTCCTCACAACGGCACTATGGCCTCTCCGTGCCGCCATGCCAAAGGGGTATACCCGTCCTTATCCCTGGAATTGATCGCGACATCCACGCGGTCAAGAAGTAGGCAAGTGATTGCTTTGTGGCCCATTGCTGCTGCCCGTGCGAGGGGAGTGCACTCTTCATCGTCCACCGAGTCAGCCTCAATATCTTTGCGCCTAAGCAGTAGTTTCACTATGTCGGTATGCCCTCCTTCCGCTGCCAATGCCAGAGGTGTCGCGTTGAACAAGTTTCGAGAGTCAACTTGAGTATCTCGATGTCCCAGCAATACTTCTATCACATCCTTGTATCCTTCTTCAGCGGCTCGCGCCAGTGGTGTACTTCCATAATCGTCTTTGGCATTCACGTTGGCTGTGGGTTCATCTAGAAACAACTGTACGATAGAAGTACGCCCTCGGGAAGCTGCGTGAGCGATCGGAGTTACCCCATAACGGTCGGACAAATTGATATCGAAGTCGGGGTGGCCAAGGGTGAGGGCTGCTGTCGCAGTGTCGTTTCTCTCGATCACCCACCACAGCGTATGGTTGCTACGCTGAACCTGTGCATCAGTATTCAAGCTATAGCTCGGAGGCAGGCCCGTCACGATCCTTTGTACGGACGTTGAGCCATCAGATGGCCAAGAACCCATATTTGCGATGTGCCAGATCAGTTCGGAGTTCTGGGGTATCAGCCGAACCCCTTCGACAAGCCCGTTCCCTTCCTGGAGGCTCTAACATCTCACTCGTGGCACCTGAGTTCCACCGATGGGCCGCTAATGCGGGAACATTGGGGGCTATCGTGCATGCAGGTGGTAGTTGCGTGTAAGCGCTTCATTCGGGGGATCGGCGTGCACAGGCCGTCGGACAACCAGCAGTGGCGCGACTTTTTGACTCGTAGAGTGTCGGAACAGAAATGTACGTCCAATCAGGTCCATGGATAGTTGTCTTATTCTTGTTATGTTCGCTCACATACTAATTTGTATGCGACCGACCATGACTAAGACTCTTGGCTAAGTTACAATGATACATTCTGACCATGCCTTACAATACCAATTCCCCACTGATACCGACAGAATGCAACTTCCTCCCATATCATTTCTTGATACAGTATCCAGGACACATGGATTATCAGTCTGCTACTATCGGTAGGCTATTTTCCACAAAAGCTAATTCCCACAATCTTCACTTCACTTTGTGGCTTATGACATGATCCCTTGTCCTGACATCACGTGTAGCAAACTGAAACTAAACTTGCCTCGGTTTAGCTCAAGACCAGCCATTTTAGGCTTAGCGCTTATAGAGCGGTTGTACGTGAGACCACATTCAGGGCGAACCGAAACTTATCTGTTCATTGGGGGATCGCTTTGACCCTGAACTCCACGTGACCGACGCCCCATTTGTAGGCAGCAGATGTGGGTTTACACCAAAAACGACCGTTCAACTTCAATATTACCTGGTGAAAACTGCCAAATGGTGACATCTGCTCGCTCGATTCTTTAGCTTAAGCGCGGTTGACAGTCAAGAATTATGTTTTCTTATTCATCATGATTACCCAATCAATTTTGCTTTTGCTCAATTAACCACTCAAATTCTCTTGTTCATGTTGGTTTATTAAGTGATGCTTCAATGTTCATATTGTTGAGGGGAGTTGATTGTGTGTTGTGTTGGATGTGTTGTCTAAGATACAAGTAGACTGAGAAGTCAGGTATATATTTGTGCACGTGATCCCAGCCTCATTATTATCCCAGCAACCGGGATATTTTAACAATTCAACGGTCAAAACACGCGCTATCTGACCAAATTTAAATACTGTAGCTCCTTTACCTACGCTGTAGTTGAAAGGCTGTTGATGTAAGAATCCTGAGCGATATTCTCATAATCACACCACACGCCAAAACATTGCTCAAATCGCAGTACTCCAACTCTCAATTGTTGTTCAACGGTCAAGAAAGCGGATTTTCAGATAATTATCTGAGGCTAGCAAATACACCAACAATCATAAAATTCCAGGGCTGAGTGATTTCAGTATTTTCTAGATATCCGTTAAAATTGACACAGCGGTATGTAAAGCTTTGTACGGTATGGAGATTCGATACCATTTAGGTTACTCAGGGTTGCGATGGAATCGTTAAGTCGAGCTGGTGAAATTTATGTCAAAAGAACCTCATCTAAAGCCAGTCGGGAAAATTCAAGTACATAATAATTGAGCATACATAACGTTTTCTCGAATCTGCTAGCTACTATTCGCTTTATCTGCAGTATTCATACTCCTATGCTCTTTCGCGGCCTAGATAGTTCCATTTCAAGGAGCAGATGCCCCTCAGGAAATTGTGCTAAAAAATGACCATGATGTCTCCAGCCAATCAACGTCATACGCGGACATTATGCGCTATTCAATCGAGATCGACCGGGATCCCCGCCTCAAACTTGCGACGGTGAGCCAATAACAAGCCTTCTTTTGCTAATAAAGCCTCCAATCAGCAATATTTCACCCCGCAAGAGGAGCAAGCCCTAGTTGGACATGTGACACGAGCATCCTCACACGCTCGCCTGTGTTAATAACCTTGCTTAACTGCTTAACAACTAAGTGAAATAGGAAGAAGCTTCATAATCCTAGATCTGTTTCTAGGACTTCTGGTGTAATAGCGGCGTACATGGCGTAATCTAAATCATTCCCTACTTACGGACGCGATTGTAGGGCGGATGTTCCGTTTAGCGGCGCTAGTAATTTTCATACATCAAATTACAGGATTCTTTTCATTCATCTGTATTCGCTTTATCAATACTTGTGTTTTATGTAGCTTTCTGCTGCCAAGACTTCCATCAAGATTAGAGTATCCCCAGAGAAAATGTTTATGATAATATAAAAAAGTAATATAAGTAGCCAGGTAGGCGAATGAATACAAAATTGTCTTTCTTATTCATCTCAGACGTTTTCGTGGATGATCTTGGCGTTATAGTGGAAGACAGCAGATTTGCTAGTCGCACATGTCATCTCGTAATTCGCCACGTTAGCACTTTGTAATTTTAGTTTGAATAGCACGATCAAATAAGGAATCAAATAATGATTATTTCAGCTGCTCTCAGGCGATATTCAATATGTGTATTGAGAGTGACAGTGCTCGAATGTGCAGGTACCTGGCGGGCGTTTCATCACACAGGGCATTTCATGTCACCGGGATGGGGGTTACATAAGACAGGAGACTACACATAATGGCTATCGATCGAAACAGAACGTAATCCGCCTCTCTTTCCTCCAATACCCATCATGGTCCCAAATATGAGTAGGCTCTAGGTATGACTACCCCACAAATTATCTGACTTACTAGGTTCAGCTTCGCGCCAGTATGGAAGATCACAACAGGGGCAAGCCCATTTCCACCAATTGTTTCATCAAGGGCCAAGTCTTGCTGCTTGAAGTGGAATGGCAGCGCCTCATCTGTGAGCTTGAAAGGCCACAGAGTTACTCCTGGACCTTGTATCATCAATACAATAGTACAAGGAATGAGCGAGATGAGGCAAGAAGAGGACAGGGGCTGGGTTGTTAAGGAGAGACGAGCAATGTATTTTGCAATGCATAATAGTCTACTGGAGGACCATTGACTGGCGCAATGAAGGTAAATTTAAGGTATTCCCTTACATATATCTGTCTTACAAAAGGGAGACAGTCAGAACGTAAGTCCTGGTGGCTTCGAAACTCTGAAAAGAGCCCTGATGACCCAGCACACGACTGGATTCTCAGTCTTTGTAATTTCAGTGATAGCACCGGTTGGAGGAGAGCAGTCTGATCATTACTAAGTATTGTGATATGAGGTTGGTTGGAATCTCTCGGAGATAGCTGCATTATAATTCTGAGCTACCGTACCAAGCCAGGCAACAACCTAGGGAGGGCCTCATTCTTAGAATATCGATTTCATATGAATTACCCATAGACGGCAATACTTGAAATACATGCTAACCTATCTTAGCTCATCTATCAAGCATAGGACTTATATTGCTAGGTGCGCCTATTCTCGGCACAACTTCAAGGGCGTAGGTCATTACACTTGCAGTATTTTCTTTATACTTTGGGACTATGTGACGAGAGAGCTGACAAAGCTTAGATCCAGCCTTTGATTTGTACTATGTGATAAATGTACATCCAGTCCCTTGAGCGACGTGCAGTAAGAGTTCAATGCACTTCTTCGGGCTCAAGTCAGTTGATAACGCTCGATTCACCAACCAAGCCGAATTGCCAAGTCCGAATGACTAATTTGTAATTCGTAATGAGGAGGCGTTTGTAGTTTGTGAATCATAGGTGTAAGCGCTCGTGACTGATCCGATTATCCTGATAGATGTTTCACCAAAGAGATATTGTCTCCCGTTTGTTTTGGAACAAAGCGCGTTCTGTAGCACCGACATTCTCGCTCACCGGATAATACCCCTCAAAGTACCAATTTTTCGGAAGACCTCTTCAAGTCTCTTTTGTGCATGGTCAGCATATTCGATGATAAACTTGCATCATTTGTTCACCGGAGTGAACGGCTCATTCTGACTGATGGGCAGGTCTTTATCCACACGTCGTTCGCGACAAGAAAGTTGAATCAAGTCCGTTGAATCCTCCATCCTTGCACAGCTTAGTAAACATGGATTCATCTCGTCTCTGTCCGATCTGCCTCAACGTCGTTGGGTTACGCGGGTCGCATGGAGCGGCTCGTAGAGCGATGCATTCTGAGAGATTTCTGGCGGCAACAAGCTTGCCATTGTTCGGTAATTTTGGCATATGGATGAGCAGTGAGGTCTGTAATGCAGCCAATCAACGCTTATAGGTTGCATTGAAGAAAAGAAAAGGCTTCCACTGTGTCCATCTGGGCCAAATCAATAGCAACACGGCCCAAGTTAGGTAGTGCCATGTAGGAAAGCTATCTAAGCAAGGGGTTCATGACAAGATTCATTCTTAGAGTTGGAAAACAAAGAATAGAAGCGAGCAGGCAGAGGATTTAAGGCGTATGGTGGGACAGAGTATCGGTTCGACCTCCTCCTCTCATCACTGCACTGAAGAGCCTTGCTGTTAGGTAAAGTAGAGATGTGAGATCGAGTACTAATCCAGCTTCAGGACATTCAAGGCGCAGTCCAACGGCCTATACCAGTGATTGTCAATATCCTCATGTATTCCATACCTCAAGAACTTCAGGAACACATACCCATCCACTGTCAAAAGTCTGCAATATAGCCAAACGCTGGCCAACACGAAGGTCAAGTTGGCCCACTCTGGATGAATTGTAATCCATTTCCACGGTATAAATATCTTTCACCAACGGGTGCGCAGCGAGAAGGTTTTCCATGCTCGTTTTTTCTAGGGGGTCCATGTCATATATATGACCCACGTAAGGGCATTCAGTTTGCCCTCTATATTGGTCTTTTGATGGTGCTTTCATGCTATGGGAACTCGATGTAGACTCCGTCACCCAGAAAGCGATCGAAGCAGGTGGTGAGTGCTCTAGTGTGGAGCGAATCTCTATTTGTGGAGACTTGCTTGAGTCGATAGTAGCACTGCCTGTCTCATTTCCAGGTTGCGTACCCCCAAAATACGTAACATGTCTCAAAGTTTGTCGCTTAGGCCTCACTAAATCTGACATTGAAGAGATCAGCCGAATACCGTAGATGTAAATTTTTGACAGGAACTCGTTGAAAAATCGGCTGGTGCTGTCAAGAGGATTGTGTATGCTAACACTTTCTTTTTCAGAAAGTGCTTGTCGAAGGCGCCTGCGTTTTTTGTAAAGTGGAAGCAAAATGAGAACCGCAATAAACCCTGCGGTGCCGGTGACTGATAGAGCAATGCCAGCATGTGCAGCCGTTGAACTAGCTGATGTGTTTGATGTTGGGGACGCGGGTATTGATGGAACACTGGTTGATGTTGCCAGGTTGGTAGTGACCACTGGATGTGATTGGGTGGGATTAGATGGCTGGATAGTATCGACTGCGGAATTCAAATCTTCGCCAGATGGGGCAATGTGGTCCCAGTTTGATTGCTGATTCGGATCATACTGGACACCGTCTGCGTTGAAAGTTGTTCCGAGCTGTGTGGAGGCAAGCTGTTTAGCCATATGAGGCTGGCCTTCTGTTGCTTGCTGGTTCCTATTATATTGATGACCATTGCTAGAAGGAGTGGAAGGGGTTTCTTCACCCCAGGGTGATCCTTCATGATATTGGTCATCATCCCAAGTTTGGGAGATACCTTTCTTGGCTGAAGAGGATTGTTTATCTGGATGATACTGACCATCATCCTGATGGTGAGAGGGAGAATTTTTGTCCGAAGGGAATTGCTGACTAACTAGACCTTCGGCATCCTGCTGGTCTTGCGATGAGCCCTGCTGATCCCACGATGTTCCTTGGGTGGCTTTATTCATGAATTTGCGAACTCCTGGTACCACAGAAGGCTGGCTTGACCCCCACTTTGCGATCAAATGAGTATTGTGAATACTCTGTACGATAGTCGAAGTCATCGTCAACGTACCCAACGGATAGGTGAATGAAGAATTGGTACTCAACTGTATGGGAAAGAAGCATCAACAACTAACTCTCAAAATACGTCCTAGTTTCATGTAGACGGCGTATGTTCAATTGTCATGTATATAGTAGCACATTTATAACTCGCTCTTCAAGGGGTTTGTATTCATTTTCGATTTGTTTTATGTTTTTTGTTTTGTTGTCTTACAAGATAACATACCTAAGGTAGAGGTCCGGGTACAATTTTCCTTATTTAGGACTTGACAATACAAGTATTGAAAGCTACGAGGAATCTGAGGTAACCCGAATATGTAGTAATATCCGCACATTTATGTCCATAAAGTGGAGAGCTGCTCGCTGGGCCATGTTACATTTGAATGTAAACAAGCCTATCCGCCAAAGCTTGGGAATACTCCAACGAGATTGGATATGGCTGGTCTTGCGGAATATATTAAATAAAGAATAAAATAAATAAAAAATAAAAAAAAGCCAACGCGTTGGTATGGATTGCGTCGGCCTACATGACCTAATTACTTCGTGCTTTTACTTCTGATTTCTATGGGAAGCATCAGCTCAATGTATTCAGGAGTGATATTTAAAAGGCATAGAGAGATCAGCGGTCCTTTTTTTCTTTTTTAATAATGCTTGCACATGAGAAGTAAAAGTTTAAGAGACCATTAAACTCTACATATTTTCGAAACATGTGAGCTACGTTGTGCAATCTACTCGCCGAAATGAATTTACTACCAATATCGTATGGGATGGATGGTCAAAACCAGTAGCTTAAGCTCAGGCCAATCAAGACAGGGATGTGGCAGATCCGCTTCAGATCCGAGTTATGTAGGCTTGGTACTTATACCGCTAGCTAGGGGCTGCCGAACACGTCAAATGGGATTTTCATGAACCGAGTGGTCCGCAATTTACAGTCTGGCCAATCAAAGACCTGGCCCCTGTCAAATATATATGTTGTGATATGAGGCTGGTGTAGATCATGAACGAAGCCGCACCATCGGAATTAGTTCCGATTCGTATCCTTTACGGCTTTTAAGCCCGTCAATAATTTTGTTTTGGTTCGTCACTGGGAGAATATTATGGTGCAATATAGACTCTTTGATGTTGACAGGTGAAATAAACAGAGCGTTTTTAGAATGAATCTGATCTCTAATTAAACAAAGTGCAACTCACAGCACACGAAAGCTACACTGTTATACAGTATTGGGATTCTTCTCTTTCTCTTTCTAATACCCTACTGCCACATGGCCAAGTCCTTTCTCACATTTGCTAGATGTTGCGAGGTATTCCTCGTTCTTTCGTGGCGAGGAGACATCTCTCTAGATCCTCCTCGCCCGAGACCAGATTATGTCTGTTTGGCATCCATGCCGCTGGTTGTTATTACATACCTTATACTCTAGAGGTTGCAAGTAACTGATATCTGACGCAAAGGCGAATTTTGCTCAAGAAACAAGACTTACTGTACGAGATAAGAATTATTTGTTTCCGAGACCGCTCGTAAGGTGGGCGAGCTTTCTTCGTGGCATATCGTGGGTAATGTTAATTCAAGATCATTATGTAGTTCACAACGCACTATCACTGGGTTGGCTTTGGTCTAGCTCTTCCAGCTAATAGTGGTATTGCCAAGAAATATTGCCATTAATGTTGAACTGTCCTCCTAGCTGGATCTCCCGACCTCCCTGTCAAGCTAGGATGTTCCAGTAGGCTCTGTAAAAACCTTAACATTTCTTTTATTAGCTAACATTTCACTATGGTGCATACTGTAGGCCAAATGCTAGAGTACAATATAGTTGAAAGCCTGGGAACGATTCAATGGTACGATGAGTCAATATCTTATTTTCCCGATCAGGTATTAGTAATTGGCCAATCAGAAACCAATGAAATCTGCTGATCTTGATTGAGGAGCTCGGAGCTACATATCTCGCCCCGGCGCATACTAATATTTGATCATTGGATGTGTCACATTGACACGTCATTTACATTCCTTCACAAAATGAAACTTCCCAATGCGAACTCCGTGAATATTTCTCTGGTCCATTAGTAAGCCCTTAGTGCAGATAGTTACTAGATTGAGTGGGTCAGAGTATTGCAAGTAATTCATATAGCATGCGAGAGACTTTGATTCAATCTTGTAAGCCTCCAAAGTTACGGTATCAGGCTCACCTAGCGACCGGTTATTAATGGCCCGAAGAAATCCATGAGGGTTAAAGTCAGGCAGTTTAGAAAATTGCCACGTCAGGATGAACTAGATTCAGTTGTTTGACGAATTTCCCACTTTCTCGAAGAAGAATTGGGAGATGCATTTTCAGCGCATTTAAAGAGGGAACTAGACTTCAAAAAATTAAGATCCGCGTCTTTAGCGATGTTTGAAATTATCAAATGACTTTGTCTCAGCTTAAATTCAGCTCTCCCATCACGTAGGCTTAAATAATAGAAAAATACCTCAAGTGCAATGTCCCATTTCCTAGGAATCGCACCAGGAATAGCAGCTCCTAGTGATATAAGACCCATTTTTGATAAATGAGTTAAGACAAAATGCAGCCTTTTCCGGCCCTGCGTGGCGCCCTTTACCAACCATCGGTACCATGCATTTCACTGAGATGGTCCAGAAACGGCAGGAAGGGAGCGATGCGAGGAATGTATTTAGCATGAATGTCCAAATAAATGTAATTATTGTCTTTGAGGCCGTATATGTCGATGCATATAATCGTAATACGACACGTGCTGATGGCGTAACATAGGCTCATAAATACGGTGACGCTTCTGTGAATACCAAGCGAACCCTAGGATATCCCAGGTGTAGTGGAATCATTATGTTGGTCATGTTTCCGTGGAAAGCTTGCCTAGTCCATCAGCTTTGAGCTTGCGCAAAGCAATATTCACCTCGACCTCCTGGGAACTTTGTTAAATATGTGCCAGGGACAGGCAAGAAGTATACATAGACACGGTATGCCTTAACCGCAAGAAAGCTATTATTTTCTGCCTCCTCGCGCCACTTTTTGTGTCCAACATTGACTATAAATTACCTAAGACTAATTGTTGATGTTTTGAACAACACTATCCATATACACAAATATGTGAGACCATGACAGAGAGCTTTTAGCCTCCCAATAACGAAGTTCTTGCTCTGTGGGACCAATTTGTTGACTGTAGCGTATTCATAAATGTATGTGGTGAACTCGAAGAAGGATTAGCAATTGAATCACCGCAATTATGAGAGCTCACGCCTACAGATATGTGAGTGCACATCAGAAGTTGCTCGTGACAACGTCTCGCTACAAATACGGCCCTGCATGTCTCCTTGATGAATCAATGATTCCATATTACAGCACAGAGCCCTCTTTTTTTTTCACACGAGGTACCAAAACAGTGAGATATAGGCCCCATTCTGTTTGGAAAATATGGCACACCCCCCATCTGTCATTCGTGAGCCATCACCTCATAAGTATCAGTACATCTCAAGGCAGCTGACCCATTCGATGATGTTAGCCCCCAGGAAGATTCTGGTTCAGTTGATTGATTACAGTGCGACAAGACCTCATATACCTCATACTGCGACAAATTTATACATAATGCCCTGTTATTTGTTATTATGCAAGGAAAACTATCAATCGTTCGAAAGTTGCTTCATCAACGCGATATTGATGTCAACGGCCGGCGTCCGAAAGTCCAGGTTCCGATTCTGATAGCCTTAGAATATCAACGATATGAAATCTTGACGATCCTTCTGAAAGATCCGCGACTGGATAATGCCATTCAAGGTGGCGAAGGCTACACCGTACTTCAGCTCTCTGTGATATATGACGACCCTGTTACCGTGAAGATCCGGTTGGATAACACGCATATTAATATCAACCATCGCGATTCCACTTGGAATAGCGCACTCCTTCTAGCTTCCTAGGCTTACGACGGCCCGGACCCCAAGAGAAACGAGCACATAGATCTTCTGGTTTCAAATTCAAAGATTGTGGTAAATGAGCGAGGTCAAAGAGGTCGTTCGGTGCTGTAGCATGCAGCACACATTGGCAACAACAGACTGATCTCTCAACTGGCCCAGCTACCGGACCTGGAGCCCGGGATTGACGACGATAATGGTGTGTTTCATATGAGCCAAGCTAGGAAAAGGGGAAACACCGAGATAGCTGCGCTTTTGCAGAACTTTTGTTGCCGGCTACCGTGGGGTGCGCAAGCACGACATGGAGTAGTCTGGCAATCGCAAATTTCAAATGACGCGATACAAAGCTGGGCCGTTAAAGCCAGCATTGAAAAGATTCTAGTAATGTTTCGTTTCAAGGATGTACTTTAGGAAGTTCCGCAGAGGCCCGTCGTAGTATGAGCCAGATGCAGGAAGATAGCTGCCCTGTTAACAAAAAAGTCTCGACAGGTCGAGACGAAGCATTAAATTGATCGGGAGCGACCAATACCCTCGGTGACCATGTATGTAGCTGCGATAGCTGCCTCCATTATTCGAAAACAATGTAATTTTCTATAAATTTGATTCATCCGCCACGGGTGCGCTATGTCACACTCGCAGCTGAGCACAGACTCCGGCCGTGCAAAATCGCCCACAGACCCTCATAGCGATTGGTGGGATTCCCTCTTGGGCATAATATTGAGCCTTGTAGTTGGTCCTACCAAACGCAGCCTACCCACTTTTGAAACATCTAGGGCATATTAACAAAATAAGAGTGGTCCAGCCCAGCTTCAAAGTCTCTTACAGCCAATCCTACCGCTGTAAGCTCTACAGAGGGAACCTTTTCTGTCCAACGGTGGCTTAGTAAGTTACAATTGGAGTAGGGCGCTCGGAAACGTTTGGCAGCCGGGAAAACATTTCTAGGATCTACACGTCAGAATGAAAATATCATTGAGCAAAATTATGATACATAATGAAGTTCATTTCGAGGCACTTGCTTCAAGAACTTGAGCTAAGACTTCAACGGTCGACTTCAGATTTTTGTCAACTCGACCCACGACTGTAAATATAAGATGGTAAACAATTTTATCAAATGCTTGGAAAAGGTAGGCGCTTTGAGGATCGAGAGCTTGGCATTCGTCTTGATCCAGTAGTCTTAGAGCGGAGTGAGCTCCACGGTGATTGCGGGCTTTTGCATCAGCCTGATCGGGGGCAGATACATTGTAATAATTTCGTGAGGGCTTTTGGGGATCAAATTTTGAGGTAGTAAAAAGATAATTGCGAGCAATCACTGTAGCGCAGAGGGAATTCAAAACACTTTCAGTGACTTCAGGGAAGATCACGCGAAAGGGTCTTAGAAGGTCTCTCCTTTTGCTTTTGCGCAAAAAGGAGATGACAGGTGATGTCAGAACGGGAATGTGGTGAGGAAAACGTTTCACGGAGAGATCAAGTTCCCGTAGAGTCCATTTGCGATCCTTTAGGGGCTGCTTGGGCCGCAAATCCACCCTGTCTCCCAGTTCGGACATGTCGAAATTAAAACGAGGCAAGTAAATACTAGCCGGTGATGGTGTTTTTGAGTCCGGATTGAGTGGTTTTGGTTCAGACTGATAGAGTGTTCTTCTCTGTATTTGCGAGGATTCCGATGGGTCACCGATAGCAGCTGATATGAAACAGCCAGGTTCTAAACCCTCGGAATGAGCATGTACTCCATTGCCAGCCGAATTCCGGCAGCTTTTCGGGGCAATCATACGTTCCAGAATACTGCAGCCAAGAAGTGGCATATCTATTGGCACATCTCGACTTAAAACAACGCCTCGCTCTTTCGGCTCAAAAGGTGTCTCACTTGGCAGCGAAGCAAGTGGCAGCATATGCGTTGTGGACAGGACAGGAGCCACCGAGGTTGAAGATGCCTGTCCGACTTGAAGCGATTTAGGTAACTTTGAAGTCAATTGCTTCTGGTAGGCTCCAGTGCATCCAGTGCCGGGACCTTGCAATGGATGTGAAAAATCCACCCCAGGTACATCAGCTGACTTGACCTCTGGGAATACCTTCGGCATGGGAAGAGGTTGCTCAACAATCTGAAATTTTCTACGGCTGGAAGCCGCAGTATCACTGTCATGATTATCGTCTCGACCGTCTGGCACACCCCTCAGCCACGTCTTGCAATGAAACAGGCTGTTCGATACCGAGTTTTTCTCCTTGAGTATATCTTTCGTCTCCGACTGTGGAATATCTGGAAAAATGTCTTCGACGGGCGGATGAGCACAATGATGGAATGTCGGTGAAGGGGATGGGACGGGTGTGATCTCAGTTTGAGTAGAAGGCAGCTTCGAGCGATAGGCGCTACCTTGCCATGTCTGGTTTGAGTCTGTCTTTTGACAACATGAATGTATATCAGCGTGGTTGACATTTTTGCACATGCCATCAGTTTTTCCCTTTTGTGGGACAGAAAAGGCTTGATTGCCCGTCTTCTTCATTTTTTCTCCATTTGTTTGAATTTGTTGTCGAGCAGGATTGTGTGCTGTTTCCCTGGGATGTTCAACTTTGCTTTGGATAGTTTGATTGTTGTCATATTTATCGGCTGAAGCATTTGGCCTCGTAGATGCGGGGTTATATGGCAGGCTCGGATGCCTATAAAATAGGCCAATGTTAGCAATGCTAGCGGTATAGGATACTGATTGGAGGGCGTTTGCGATAAAAGCTTAGTGAGAGCGTGTATACCTTGGCGGCATGGAGGTACTGGCCGACGATTCCTTGTCTGGGGAGGATGCTCCTTTTGAGCTTTGTGGTTGAAGTTTTGGGCATGGACTGGCGGGAAGCGACAGCGGAGCCAGTGAGGTCGCCCGCTGCTTGTTCATTTGGGGCTGATAGGTTGGAGACCATCGACATAGTGAGGGGATGAAATCCGGTAGGCCCGCGTCGTCAGGTCTGAACCGCCAAGATGGACTAGACCCTTCGGACCACAAATATTGCTCGACTTGAGCATGGGGGTAGACACGTTCAGGCATGTCAAGTACAGCGTCGCCGAAGTCCCTGATTTATGAGAGTAGACTTGAACACGACACCGAATATGGCAGAAAAGGCAAAGCACATAGATATGGTGCCGAGTGGAAGGTAAGAAAGGACGAGACCTACGGTAGTTATAAGGATAGTGTTGGCCAAGCAGTTCTTAGGAAGATCGTGATCACTTGGGATGAACATCCCTTGATAGAAGTCATGTTCTGCCATATCGAACTGAGAAATTGGCCGGAAAGAAAAATTTTATTTACTCTTCATTGCCCTTACCGGTACGATTTATGTTTTTTGCTGAGAAAAATGAACTCACATTCCTTCTGACTTCGTACTTGCTACCTATCAGAAGGGCAGTTGGTAGCAGTCCCAAAACCAGGGGTATTTCAGCGCATCTTCAGTCGCACAGACCATCCTCCCACCGCCTCCGATTGACACGGCTCGTTTGGGCGGCATCGGAAATGAAAAAAGTGAGATCAAAATGGGAGGTACAGTTGGTCACCTGTAGTACCATAGCTCATAGTAAATCTACAGGCAAACTAGACTGTAGACAATCAATCAATATGATGATTTATCAAGTGCAACAGTGCATGGTGACCAGACATCCCCGAGGGGTGTCCAGGGGCAGTGGGCGAAAAGTTCGCGGGAACGAAAGGCAGCCAACGGATATTTAATCCCATTCAGGCACTCAGACAATAACGTGAGAACCCCTCGGGCACCATTATGCCTGAGGGTGGGCCATGCGCGAAACAAATCCTATGCCTAGGAGAGATAGTCTGGCATGCTCTCGAAACCCAGTTAAGATTACTCTAGGGATGCATATAATACCAGCTGGGATGTATTATAGAATTCGGTTCCTCATTTCCAATCAGGTAAGTCTAAATTGGGAGATTTGGTCGTTTCTCCAGCTCGTTGCTCGGCCCAATGTGGAAGAACTGTGCGGCTAGTGGTGAATCACATTGCTTAATTTAGATTATGGTGGGGATGTTTGTGGCCATGCAAGTCTTGACGGGTCTGTAGTACTTAATAGGCTTGGGGAGTTATGGCCCGTAGATCACTCTTTTGTGATGACGATTTCAGTGTACCTTGTCGAACCGAAGCTAGTGACTCTGCCCAGAAAATCTGAAATCAAAATGAGCGGCCCAATCAACATACCACAAATTTTCTCCCAAAAGCTTTTCGCCCAAAGACCCTAAGACTTCGCCATATGCTGTGTCCCTAGGCCATTGTCGATTTGAATGAATGCTGCGCATTATGTTGTGGCTTTCGGAATATCAGGGTATCCGTAGCTTAGCGTAACTCCTGAATAGCCAGGAATAGCGAATCCTCTATAAGAAGTCAACATTATTCTTAAGATAAATATTTAGTGCGTCATGGTGTTCTTGTTGAAGGGAAAGCGAGGGGCGGAATAGGACGATCTTGACCCGTCCTGAAAGGGAAATGTTGTGCGAGTAAGAAAGGGATTAATCCCCATCGCATCAATAAAAGCCTACACCCATCAATCGAAATAAATCCCGGGGAATTTGGATCCACAGGTTTATCCTATTGCCCTAGTTTCTGGATTTACGCTTTCAACTAGTTGCGTCATTGTTATTGGCTTCAGACATTCACGCGCCAAGACTGCACTGCCGGACTGAGACCCACCCACCTACCCCTTTGGAGTCTGGATATCACATTGGTAGCGTGATGTATTAAAACCTAATTTGCCCCTATCGAGACCATAGAGAGGCTGAAGTGTGGCAGTGCCTTGGCAATTTTCTTTGTCTGGAGATCCTAAGGCTTGTACGATTGACCAGAAGGCCTTCCGAGGTAGTGAGGCTTTTTCTTCTTACCGGACAATGATGTAACGACGAAATAACGCTAGGATTTTTCTGATCTAAGGGGGAAATTGGTTCAAGAAATCGGGGCCCCGGCTGTAGTCTGTGACTAGTTTCAGATATTTTGAGAATTAAATCGAACTACTTGGCTACGATTGGACAGCAATGTTAGTATTGTTCAGTCATGCAGTCCCGCTTAGGGGTCGAGAGCATTCAAAAATGAATAAAGACTCCTCCCACCCCATTTGTTTGATCGTGAAGTTTAGTGAAATAAGTTATCATATGCCCCATCGCTTTGGTAGGCAGTGCCTAATTCTCCAATATATCTCTTTTTTAGCCTGAAATGGATCAAGTTGAAATGAGAGACTTCGACCGCCCGAAAGAAGCCATTGCTCACCTTGCATATTATGAGACATCCCAACGGCAATGGAAACATGTAAGGGAAAGCTGCCAACCAGAGGAGGGAGAAAAAAGTAGTGTTTCATTGCTTGAGGGCTATCAAAGCCAATGGCAGCAACTGATGGAAGAGACGGATAGAGAGATCCAGAAAATTCGAGGTATGGGCGAAATTCCAAACATCAAAGTGATATAACATATGCAGAGATCCATTTAAAGCTCACCTAACTAATGAATATAGATGAAGAAGCCAGGAGTCCGTCAGAGACCTGGAGTTGTGGATGCATTTGCCACGACCTACAATGAAGTTGGCTCGGTGCCGGCGGGTACATGTGTTCCACTAAAGATAACGGAGATGCAGTCGCAAAACAGTGGGTACGTCTTTGAAAGAAATTACAGTTTTCCACCGGTTGCCCCGCTATAATACCGACAGAGTGAAGGTCGTCGTTACCTGCTATCAGTCTCACCTTCGGTGATTGGTTGCCACCTGCCGTTATTCGTTCACACAAGTTCTCGCAACATTTTGATTTACGACTAGTGATAGCACCAGTGATGGCGTTGATGATATATTTTCCTTAAGACCATGAATTCTTCTAAAATACTCGCTCTTCTAGTCACTTGCGTGGATCTTTGCCTTTGTTTTTAAAAAGGCCCCGAGGAGTTCGAATGAGGCATTTCGCCTACCATTATACGTATATCGGCCGTAGTGCCGTATCTTACAGGTATAGTGATCAAAATAGACTTAAGACTTCTAGTAGCCACAGTTGTTAATTACGCCACATTTAGCTCAGTTATAAATACATGTATGGTCCATCACGGGGATGGGGTAGCAGTTTTCTTAACCGGGGATGTCCACAATCTGATGTAGTGGTATCTGAAATTGGCTATTCCGTTAGCTCTTATGGCTTGTGACCTGAAAGATAAACGTAAAAAGGGTAATTTGTGATATTTTCATACTTAGAGACCACGCTCCCAGACCTCTTTCTAGTGGACTAAGTTTATCTGGAATTAACGATATAAGATATCACGGGATGTACTTCAAATGAAAAGCCCATGCTTTTTCCACCGGGAATGCCCTCCAGAATCGATTGCAGAAGAAAGGAGCCCCCTTGATGTTGTGTGGTGACAACAGTATATAACACAGGCAAGTATCAAGCAGAGTAAATGTCGGTATTTACCTTCCAATTTCGTAAATTGAGATGCGATTTGCAAAAATACTGCCATTCAAAATAAACAATCTGACATTTTGCAGTTAACCCACATAACACTCCATTACTGGAAAGTTCGTAAGCCAAGAAGGGCTGTTGGCATAATCAGAGGATAATAACTCCGTGGGGTTAACAATGGCTGTCGAAAGACATGCCTCCTCAAGCGCCGAGCAGTTGTTTTCAAGGGGAGCGGACGGCGTTGCAGAGGCTGGCGAAGAACTTGTCATAGATTGTTGGCCAGTGGTGTATCCTGCGAAGCTATGCTGAAGGTCCATAGGCATACTGTACACAACTCGATTACGAGATGATGATTTGTGTGTTGCTGTATCCTGTTTGTACTTCGAAGAGACCCGACTATTCGGTCGGCCCTTTTTGCTGGACATTTCATCGGGAACGGGTAAATTGATCCGCGAAAGAAGAACATATGCGTCTTTGTCTAGATATACCTCGTTAGATTGTGAATAATAGGCGGTTCCAAGTCCCTACCAAGAAGGCCATCCAAGAACTTTTCCTCTTCGCCTCTAACACGATACAACTCATCTAGGAGTTCTAATCGCTCGACCGGGATGATCTGCGACCGGACAGTCTGCTCTGCATTCTTCAATTTTTGTGAAGTAATTCCGTGACTGCAGCGCAAATCACAAAGAATATGGAGAAGAAGCGCGATGCGTTCTAGTGAGATGATGAGTTAAGCGAGTATCATGCGCAGGAAAGTGTCCTCTTACCTGCTTTAAGTAAATGGTCGGGCTCTCGATGGCGTACTCCAGGAGGCCACCAGGGTGGCTTACTCTCCTCGGGACTCAATTGCTGCAATTCTCCCCCCGCGAGTTTTCGCCCATTGTATGGGTGGTGAACTTGCTTCTGGGGCTCAACAAGTTTCACATAGGCTTTTGCCAGGATTCGGCAATTGGTTTGCTGTATATTCTGGAAAACCTTTTCGTAGTATCGACGAAGGAAGTTTGTATCTTTGATAGATAACACGGCTTCCTGGAGCTTCAGTCTGTGCTTCTGGATACAAGGGCTTTCCATGTGAAACAGTTCATCTTTCAAGATTGCCGAGCCAGCTTTTCCAGTTCCTGGCCATTGCGTAGGTTTGTAATGGTATCCACTCGTCATGGGCGCAATATGTCCCTCGATCTTGCTGTCTTCTGGCAACCAGGAATCGTTAGAGTCATACGTCACGAGGTGACTAGGAAATAGCTGAGTAGAAGCGAATTCTAGGGAAGGCTTTTGCAGCCCAACTTGAGTGGATTTTGCCACCGCTTTCAGGAATTCCGTGGTGACTTGAGGGCTGAGGATAGTGCCGCGATAGTGGACGAGTGAAGGGGACACCTGATGGCGAATTTTCCCATATTGATCAATATATATGAGGGCAAAATGCTGGGCAGACGTGTAATCCTGTGGGGCCTGGCTCGACATGCTTGCTGGCTATGTTCATTCGCTCTGCTGAAGGTCCAAGAAGCAAGAAGGTTGAGATCAGCTTACATGACACATACACGTAGCAGAGACAAGCTTCAAAGAAAGTGAGCTCTAGCCGTAAAGATGAAGGACAAAGAGAACTTCGCTTGAGCGCTCATGATTGATGTAGAGGCAAACATCCTTGAGGTCCGAAGGTGATGGCTAAATCGTTGCTACCGCGCGGGAAAACTTTACTACGAAAATAAAATTATGATAGATCTGTGGCTCGCCTATGGAAAGCGCAGAGAAGGCCGAGCGTGAGAGCAAGCTGCCGATCAGCAGCAAGGGATGATGATTAATTGCCAAGAAATACATCCTTCACCCAACAGTCGTATCGTGACGTTTTTATGGTGTCGTAAATTACTTCCATATATATTATTACTTGTACCACAGTACTGGTAGGCAATCAAGATCAGTTGTGGGTTAGGTTGTTGTCCTCAGCCGAGCGTATGTAATCTTGATCAGGGCTCAGAAATAGTTCAATCGCAGTGTGCCTATGAAGTAGCTACATGTTTCTGCGATGCATGCATCACGGAATTTGCTTCCTGGGGTAGTGAATCAGTTCACTGGGAACTAAGCCTTAAGGGTTTAAGAGAGGGCCGGCGCAACTGAAAGGCCTTCCTAAAACACTGGGAGAGGAAATTAGGAACGCGGGGTGCTCGGTATGTATTAGAAATTGGAAGTACGGTATTTTTGACGGTCGGCAAAAGTGCATCAAGCCAAATTAGGTAATAGTATCTGACCAATCATATCAACTATCGCAATGCCCCAGTATGGAGTGATTAGACTTCTTTGATTTTTTGAGTTACAGGTCCACGCCACTAACTCTAAATGCAGTAGCAAAGACAATTCGCCGGCTCTGAGGCTTAGGTATAACGTATGCTTGAACCGGTATTTGAAACGACAGAGTTTGCTATGCCTCATGGCACGACAAATTTTCCCTGAATCAACATATTGAAGTGGGGAGACTGGAAAAGAAAAGCCGTAGTGTCGAAGGGATTTACTATTTCCAGATCTCATTGTATGATTTGGGATCTCCGTGCCCATCTGCACAATTAGACATCCAGTCCCACCGTGAGTTTCGCGATTTCGCCTAACGTGTCTCCGACACCCCTACTTGATTAATTACTCTCTAGCTACTGATGGACCGATGGGTCAGACATCCAAATCATTCCACTCAGTTGTTCTTGAGAGCCATGATTCCGAATTCTACACGTGACTGGTGACGGTAGGGCAAAATCCGCCGTGTCTCCCTCAACAAAATCATCCAAGAGTTGGATGCAGTTGCAGGACAGCATGCACTTTGTGTAGAATAGAAGATGAGAAAGAGTGGCTATCCATTTCAAACAATTATCAATTTTTCGTTAACCAGGTGGTCATTGTTTTTTTTTTGTTTTTTTTTCTCATTAGTCAGACAAACTGCGAACCCGATGATTCAATCCTTCAATCGTATTGATCCCAGAAACCGAATCATTTCAATTATTCCCTTTTCGGACTGACGCGTATATACTCATTTTGTGATGTAGAATGAATATGTGAATCAGCCCTACCGAGGTCTACGCAGCCTGGATCGCTGCTTCTGTGCGCTGCCGCAACTTAGAACCGAGATCCTTGTTGACACGTCCGAAGAGGCCTAGGCTCGGTGTTAGCCTCATTTTCTTAGTAGACAGATTCACCGAAAATGCTCGGTTCAGGCTACAGGGGAAACTTACTATAGACAGCCTTACGCAATTCAGGGTACTTAACACCCTTGATATTACCGACGAGGTTCTCGATGACTCTATCCTGGTGACCAGGCTGGCGGCCAATAACTTCCCACAACGCTGCGGGCTGAACGAAATCATCGTCAGTGATCTCGCTGGTATAGGCGGACACCTCTCCTGCCCACTTTTCGTGTTCGGTGTGTAGGGCCAGTGCAGAAGCGCGAATTCCCTTCTGGTCTTGGTAGAACTTGATGGGTTTGATCGAGGAGCCAACGTAGTTGGGGTCGCCACCGTAGTTACCATCAAATCGCATGGCTCCGTCACGCTGGAAGGGACAGTAGACTTGCGCCTTCGCGGCGTTGGTGGGGAGTTGCTGGTAGTTGACACCGAGGCGGTAGCGGGCTGCATCGGGGTATGCGAAGAGTCTTGCTTGCAGCACTCGGGGAGAGTTAGTCATTGCAAATCATAAGGCCTATAATTTTCCAGCTTTCTGGCCTACCTGGATCAGCGGACGCAGCGATTCCGGGGACCATTGTCGAGGGCGAGAATGCAGCTTGCTCGATATCGGCGAAGTAGTTTTGTGGCTATTCCAATTCAGCGACTGTAATATAAAACTCAAAAACAAAGACTCACGTTGCGGTTCATAGTAAGTCGACCAATCTGCTGCAGAGGGAAATCCTTGTGCGACCAAACCTTAGTCATGTCAAAGATATTCCACTTGTACCTCTCGGCCTCTTCGGGACTCATCAGTTGGACGTAGACATTCCAGACAGGATAGTCGCCTCTGTCAATTGCTTCGAACATGTCACGGATCATAAAATCAGGATCCTCCCCGGCGATTTTGGTGGCCTCTTGAGAGGAGAGGTTCTCAACCCCTTGCTGCGTTTTGACGTGGACTTTGGCATATTTGAACGAGCCGTCCTATGCACACATTAGTAGAAGATCCCGATCCCACGCGCAGTGTTACCTACAGCCTGAGTAAATTTGTATGTATGTCCGCTGTAAGAGTTCATGTAGCGAACTGATTTAGGCGTGCCACGGTCGCTGAACAGAACCAGAAGTTGGTGAATACCCTCAGGATTGCCGACGTGAAAACTAAATGATTAGCCTGATTCGATAACTAGAGCTTGGGAAATCACATACTCCCAGAACTGCGATACCAATTAGTTCTGCGACATACTATGGGCGGTTAAGATAATAAAACTTACCATGTTCGGGTCGGGGAGGTGGGTCTGAGGATGCCGCTTGTGAGAACGGTTCATAGACGGGAATTTGATCGGATCACGAATGAAGAAGACAGGCTAAATCGAGCGAAATCAGAAATAAATAACAAAAGAGACTAAAGTGTCTCAAAAGGAATGGATGTCACACCGTATTGTTAAAAACAAAATCTTGGTTTCCCTCCTCGGTATAAAACTTCATCGCCCATCCGTGCACATCGCGGGAGGTATCGGCAGATCCGGACTCGGGCCCAACGGTTGACACCCGCTGCAGCACGGGTGTCTTCTTTCCGACTGTGTTGAGGAATTGGGCGCTGGTGAAGTCAGAGCAATCGCGTGTGGCTTCGAATTCACCAAATGATCTACAACAGTCAATCCGAAATCCTTCGTATAGTGGGACATGACAACTCACCCGACAGCCTTGGCGTGAACGACACTACTCAAAATCTCTAGTCAGTGCACAGTAGATAATTGGAACCCAAGAGCCATCTGAGGAAAAAACTAACCGCTCGGGAATTCTCTCCCGAGAGAAATGAGCAAGGGTTTCGATGAGCTGGGTATCTTGCAGTAACCCGAGGCTGCCGCCCTGCCTACCTTGCATCAGGACAGCTGTGCTGCTATTCGCGAAGGGACAGCCTGCAAAAGTCAGTCTATAGTAAAATCACAAATAATAAAGAAAGGGCACACCCTCGGCCAGAGTATAGTATCTATCGTCGCCCATGTCGAATTATGAATTGATCAATGATGAAGGACTTGTGAAGGCAGAAGGTGGAGTGGGAAGAAGTTAGACTTTGTGTGAGGAATGCGACTCATTATATTTTCCAGCTTGGAAACAGTGATGTGCTGCCTGCTCCTAGATGGAACTTGGGATTGAGCCATAGTAATACGATTACGATTATTGGAGCTCAGCGCTCCACCCTGAAAAGGCTATCAAGCATAACTTTGAATCATAGTAACGAGCATTATGACGATGCACTGATACCATGTACGGGCTGTTGTAGGAGTGCGTGGCAAGCCAGGAAAGCCAAAATGAAGCTTTGCGAAATTGATGACTGCATCAAAGCTGCAACAAGACACAGTCCATCTTTGATTGGGCAAATACCACTACTAGATCCGGACCGTACGGCACAGAACGCTTGACCCACCCACCGCCGTTTAGCAAGGTTTGGAAGGCTTGGTCTGAAGCTGTATGCTCGATACTATGTAACTGCCAAAGAACTAGGAACTGATAGATCTTACAGCAAAAGACACTCGCAGCCTTCAATTCAACAATTACTTTGTTGATGACCAATCAATGTGGAATTTTCTCGCAGGGTGGATTTTCACCTCGCAGCAGCGAATGAGTGCATTAGCTTCAGTTGCATGATCGCTGGTTCCGTTTCGTAAGAGGGCCCATATCCTGGGGTACAGTTCTTTCAGTTCTTTCTTCATCCAATTTAAACTTTTCCTCTGCCCAAGCAATAAGAGCCTAGGAACTGATGTTATTCTCCGCATGAGGTGACGTAATGACTATGTGGCTGAACGAGCACAGAGCCCCCCCGATCTACTTCCGTTGCTCCCTTATTCATTAATCTTGTGGATATTGACATTATTTTTACATTATCGAAAGCTTGTTACAAATGGACTCGCTTCAAACTGAAGTTTCAGCTGAAAGAATCTGTCCAATACCGGAACACATAATTACGGTACATAAAATTTGTGACCCACTAGGAGATAAATCAACCCAAAATTGATGACATGACCTCGTCGTTCTCTTTTTAGCGCTATGAGTGGGATGCCGAGAAAGAAAGCTTGTCTGGGTGAACTGATTTCGAATTCTGACGTATAGTAGGGGGCTATCTAAATTGTTTATGCCGCCGAATTAAAGAGCGTAACCCAGGACCAGAAACGGAAGTGAAGCTAACCAGAGCAAGTATGTCGAGGCTTTCTGAATTATGATGTTTTTTTTTCGACAAATCTTCACACCCTGCCAGGCAATTATAACGTTTCCACGGTTTTTGAGGGTGGACTTTGGATTTTTCACAGTGTGCATTTTCGGTGGTAGAAAAGGATGTGAGGTAATCAAAATGAGAGCGAACGTAACCAGATATATGACTGTGCAAGGCTTGTAGCTTGATGATTGCACTTCACCTTTATGATACAGAAGGATTTGGTGGTTTCTTAGACTAAAAAGCGACAGCTTGGTGGATTTGCATCTTACCCATGGCTTTAGCTGGACAGGGAAGCTAGTGACGTATGCGGAATGCCGAGCCGGCTCCGAAACCTTTTTAGTATCGGCCTTATGTTGTTCCGTATATCGGAATTCCGTAAACGTTTTTCTCCAATCTAGGCAATTGGCCTGTGCTGAGCAAAAAATAAAATAATGAAACAATGAAGACGTAGAAACTTTAAGTGAGCGAGAACTTATAAGTGATGAGGCAACATATAAGGGATCGCCGCATCCAATTGCTTGCCCCATCTGGTAGTATTACCAACCCAATCAACTAATGCACCAGATCAATGTCCTATTCAAAAGGTACCCATTAGCCCAATGAAGCTACACATGCCCGCTATCTCTAGCCTCGGATATCAAATTGTGGAGTTTATTCCTAGATTACAAGCGAAGTTAGCCCAATGACCAGTTCAATATATGTATGAACGCATATGCTGTTTGTCAATGGCTATTCATCCGTGATTTAATTGGTGGCAGCAGCTCAAAAGCGGAGAGTTGGGCTTCTGCTGAGCTTTTCATACCCTCTTCGCTGTGCCTATACCTTCGTCAGTTCCTTTTCTCACCTTCAACTGCCCTCCCCGCTCAAATCACTCAGTCTGACCTCAAAAAGTGTTATAGGATGAACAAAATGCACCTAGTTTCCAAATTTGTCAAAATTTTATGGTTTCTGATTCCAGTTTCGATGAAGTAGGTCATACCGGGAGGAATTGAATCATTTTTTTGCACTCTAACCTTCGCGCCAGTATCGCCGCGTCACACATATCCATGATAGTTGACTAGCGAAATCAGTAGATGCGGCTCAACTATGAAATCCAGCATTCCAACTGCAGCGCTGCAGAAAAAACGGCACAATATGATCCAACAAGGGATGCACTTCCTAAGGCTGGAGTATTATCGCTATGAAGTCACATTTGGGCTGCATGTCATGACTCCCACGGAAAAGATTGTCGTCAATGCCTTCGTTATCACCAGTCTATTACTCCTTTGTTGGACAATATTACTTTACTTCCCGCCTTTGCTGTGCCGCAAATTCTTTCGCATTGTGTGGGTATTTACAGACCATGGGGGAGAGAGTGCGGATGCTGATCCAGGCTCTCCTGCAGATGCCTGACTCAATTACGCCTGCTGGTAGCTGAAACTCACTGTGTCGGTAGGTTCATGGAGTTTGAGACTGATGTTGCGACTTGGTCGGTGGAATGCTGAATTATGACGACAAATTGTGCCGAATCTCACATCAGCTACCAGGGGCGGGCCAGCGAGACTCGGGAATGACATCTAAGCCTTAATCCGATGTTCGTCAGGAAGTTCAATTGTATCCGGTGACTGCTATGGACTGTCGCCCGAGTCAACTTTTGAGTCTATTACGCAATCACATATGCTATGCGCAAAAATTTCAGATACTGCCTTGAAATCTTTGGCTTCAGTCGCTGTCCTCTCGGCTTTTGCCATTTGAGAGACAGGAGTAATAAAAAACTAGGACTGTCCAGCATGTGCTCTCTCCGGGCCACTTGCAGAGGTTTCATTCGTACATTACGTCTGATTAAAACGGCACAAATACACAAAACCTATATGCAGCTCTTCCATTCTAAACAAGAAGATTTCGGCCTCGGAATGTGGCTAGTCCTGCTCGCATCTGCTCTCGTCGCGAACAAAGTTTGATTTCCAGTTTCAATTTCTTGGCCACTCAATGGATTAATTCATCATATTTTCAGGAGGGTCATTTGCGGCCCAGTCTTTCATTTCCCTCATCCACGAGCTCGTATGCAGGCTGGTATCTCTCCTGGCAGTATTCCTCCGATTCCAACATGCTATCACTCCTATTCTTAGCTTTGGTCGAGCTAAATTGTTCATTCAGTAGCTTGGGGTTAGGTTGTGTATCCGATGTCCCTCCTAGGCTTGTATACCCCTCATTATAAAGACTGCAATATTCTAGGCCGAGGTGACGGATGAACGCCCAGATCTCGGTGTAACTCCAGTCGATCACAGGATGAATGCGAACGAAATCAGGCCATCCTTTGTCTGTCTTGTTGAAATGCGATAAATTTTCACCATGGGGATCAGATCGGCGAGTTCCCACTAATATGGCCCGAATATCGGGTTGGTCCGCTAAGTAATCTTCGAAAACATCTCGCAGTGTCATGTTTGAAGTACCAATAGTGAATTTCGTAAGAGAAAGGCCATAAGTCTTAGCAGACCTCATAACAAAATCTTCAGCAGCTGGAAATGGATCGGCTGGGCGAACATATACAGCTGGAATACTCTTCATTTCTGTGCCGAATACTGCTTCCGGCATTCCATTCAACCCAAGACTCATGATTGCCCTTTCGTTCCGTTGTTGACTTTGGCGGCGACCAAGTTCGGCCAGAAACAGCACCAAAAGTACAAGGCAGTCTTTTCCCCCGTTGTAAGAAATAGCAAGCTCTGAAATTTCGTACTTGTGGAGAGCTGCGGACACAACATCTAAGGAAATTGCTGTCTGTCGTTGCACGGAGCCGAGTAGTGAGTCAGAGGCATGTGGCTCGTCAAGGAATGACTGGATCTGTGCGTGTATCTGCAATAACATGATTTGAAGGAGATAATTCAAATCACATAGATAATTTACGAATGTAGCATTGCCGAACCTTTTGTAAAGGGGTATGAAGCGAACAGGAAAGGCGTAAAATTGCCATCACGTGAGACTTGGATCACAGCAAGAGGAAGTGGAGTTACCACTAATACCGTCCTGAGAGGGGTAGGGGTTTCTTTCGGGCAATAACACTTCCGATAAGAAGGTCGCTAGCTTCATTCCCTTGATCATTGGATATTACATACATAAAGGGCCCCCCGCAGAAAAGCGACCTGGTCGGGCCCAGTCGGAATTTGGTAGAACTACCCAATCCAATATTTTCATGCCGGAATTCTTCATATTCATCCATATATGGTCTAGCGCCTGATTGATTTTCTATGTGGATGCCGGTCACCGGCGACATTGGTACAGACCAGGAGTGAACAAGGTCGCAGATAGTTTGGAATATGCTGTGGGAAGTATCTTTTCCACATTGAGGAGGTGATTGGATCAGTAGTATTGCCAGACACAGCTAACAGCCCGATGCAGCGGACGTCTCCGCCTTAGCCGGCTAACATTCCCATTTACAGACCAATGGTAGATCAAAAATTATTACGCGGAAGCGACCAGGTCATCCAATTCCGGATAGACCTACAACACCAATCAAAATGGATATTTCTCGCCCTAGACTATCAAGGAAGGTTCGGAATAGGAACATATTCACCGGCACAGTGGCTGAGCATCTCAAAATTGCGGGGTTCTCCAAAATGTATTCTAAATCTCCAAGATTTTATCTTTGCTTTTAACACTCATAGATGTCGCCTTGCGTTTGCACTTGGGAGAGAAGAACCTTCGTGGTAAAAAAGAGCCGGTTATACCTGGGACAAGATGTCTACAACTTCTCCAGAATATCAATTTGATTCGATTGCCGACACAATCGCCGCTTTCAGTGAGTTTCCATCTTGCCAAATAGGTTTTTTCCTACAGTATGCGCGTGTATCAGAAAGACGCGCAGGATTTGAGGACAACCCATATAAAAGCTGATTTGTGTCCATGCAGAGAATGGAGAATTCATCATTGTCCTCGATGACCAGGACCGAGAGAATGAAGCTGATTTGATCATCGCCGCGGAGTCAATCACGTCTGCTCAAATGGCCTTTCTAGTTAGATTCACTAGGTGAGAAAGGACCCTGAGGCCACACACTACTCCACGTCACCCAAGGAGGAGATCGTGTTGGGAAAGGTGCGACTGCTGCTTTCTAATCATTGGCCATGTATTGATGACGTGTCATTCATTCATCATGGTATTCAGTGGTCTGATATGTGCTCCCATCACCCCGAACCTTGCGTCACGCCTCGGCCTCCCTCAAATGGTCACCCAAAATTCCGATCCAAAGGGAACGGCTTATACAATTGCGATCGACTCAAGCGCCGACTCTATCACAACAGGTATCTCCGCCGAAGACCGCGCTCTGACATGCCGCACCCTAGCTTCTCCAAATGCTCGTGTGGACTCCTTCAGACGGCCAGGGCACATTATTCCGCTAGCCGCTCGACCTGGTGGTGTGCGCCAGCGTAAGGGCCACACCGAAGCTGCGGTGGATTTGTGCCGACTTGCTGGCAAAGCTCCCGTCGGCGTTATAGCAGAGCTGGTTGAAGACGGAGAGATTGTGGAGGGGATACCGGAGGTAGGTGGGAATAATGGAATGATGCGTCGCGATGGGTGCTTGAGATTTGGGAAAAGATGGGGAATTAGAGTATGCACAATTGAGGACTTGGTGATATACTTGGTTAGGGAAGAGGGAATCGCAAATACAAGACAATAAGCATCTGTCTATGGAATGTACAGCATTCGATATAAAGAACCCAATCCACGGAAAAATAAGTACTGTACAATGGAAGCCAAATGACAAAAGTATGGCACGGAACAAGAGAGCGAGGCGACGACGAAAGAAATTCCGAATCAATTCTTTCGAAATTCCAAAGTACAAAGTGCACAAGTCGTGATCAGTGATGGCCACATTTCTCGGAGGTAGTTCTCGCAGCGGACCTCATTGGTGCTGGAACCGTGGAAGAATGAGCTACAACACAAAAGTCACCAGCCGCGACGTTGTAGCTGATAAATTCGCAAAGGAAAGTGTACGGGAAAAAGCAGACGCCAAGGCATTCGTCAGGTCCAGCCCTCACACTTTTCTCGATCCCAAGTGCGTCTGTTTCTACCGAAAAAAGCGTGTTACCTAGCGTGGCCACGAGTGCCAACTTCATCGTTATTTTCTTCTTCTCTTCGACAAAGAAAGCAAGTGGCTGGCCTCGAAAGCTTAGCTCAAGGTTTCTGGACCATGTGAATGATTCGTCTGCTGAGCGTTGGCACCCGATAACCAATTGAATTTGACTTTGAGACACAATGTGGAGAATGAATTGCCAAGTCTGTATTAGAGTGCACTACTTAGGGAGATCTATGGACGGTTTCAGACTGCTGAGCATGAACCATGTAGCAGGGGTTGGAACCGGAACGTGGTGTCTGGAACCGAAAGCAGGGTTGTTGCTATTCCAAACAGGCAATAGCATTCAACCAATCAGATATCTGAATAAAAGTAAAAATTTCCCCCAACCATTGCGAGAAATCTGCTGTTGGGAGTAGCACAGACGTAGTTCTTTCTTTCAGTCCATATGATTTGTCCACACTTGCATCACCTCGTGCAGAGAACTGCCCAGACCCTTGAACCGACGATCATGCCCCACCCGGTTGGATACCCACTGCGTGGCTTTTGGTAGCCCCACGACGTCAATCGCGTCACGAGTCAGTCGGATGTTTGTTGATTGGCTTGAACACCTTCGCGCCACTTGCTATAAAAGTTGACGTACATAATAGAATGATCCCATAGATAAATATCTAATAACATTTCTTTATGTTCCACTTAGGCAAGGCAATGGAACCGCATAAGCGTTAAAATATACAGACTCTATGACCTCATGACATGAGGAGACTTAGCTATTGCTTGCAATCTCCTTATCCTAAAATTCGTAGCCAACGCACTTATAAAAGGCGCATTGGAGCCTCTGTCCCCGCCGCTCTCCATGACAATCTTTTGTTCGATACAACTACTTCAACCCCTTACACTTTCTTGGATTTGTTCTCCTCCAATATGACTATCCAGAACAATGCCAGATTCGACTTCATTGTCGTCGGTGGGGGCACAGCCGGCAACGTCGTTGCAGGTCGCCTCGCCGAGAACCCCAAAGCTCGGATTCTTGTCATTGAGGCAGGTGTTGAGAACGCAAAGGATCTAGAGCCTATCAGAGTCCCTTCAAATGCCATGCAACTTCGTGATAGTGAGTATGACTGGTCGTTCAAAACCACCATGGTCAAGCGCGATGATTACGAGCGCATTGAAAAGCCCAATACACGTGGTAAAGTGCTCGGTGGTAGTTCATCCTTGAACTATTTCACTTGGGCTCCTGGGTCTAAGGGTACTTTTGACATGTGGGAGGAGTACGGAGGAAAGGAGTGGACTTGGGATCCACTTGTACCCTATCTGCGGAAGAGCGTTACATACCACGACGATCACAACGCATATTCCCCAGACATGAAGAAGATCGGCGGGGGTGGTCCGATCCCAATCGCCCACTCGGAGCTCATCCCTGAGATGCAGCCTTTCAGAGACCTTCTCACAAAGGCATGGAAATCCACTGGTCATCCAGTCACCGAAAATATCTTTGATGGCACTATGTCTGGCCTTACTCACAGCGTCAACACTATTTACAAGGGTCGTCGATCCGGCAGTTTCCTCTGTGTTGCTGACAAGTCCAATGTGACGATTCTCCCTCAGGCTCATTCGAAGAGTCTCATTCTTGACGCTGCCGACAAAACTTGTAAGGGTGTGACTGTCATCCTCGGCTCCGGCCAAGAGCTCAATCTTTTTGCCACCCGTGAGGTCATTGTATCTGAAGGTGTTTTCGAGACCCCTAAGTTGCTGATGTTGAGTGGTATTGGGCCCTCTGCCGAGCTCAAAAAACACAACATCCCAGTGGTTGTCGATAGCCCTCATGTGGGGCAGCATCTGCTGGATCATCCCGGTGTTCCTTTCGTTCTGCGTCTGAAAGACGGATTTGGCATGGACGATTATGTATTACGGAAAGGAACGCCCCACAATGATCAGGCCATCAAAACATACGAAAACAATCACCGTGGTCCTCTGGGCTCCGGATTTTTGGAGATGGTCGGATTCCCTCGCATTGACGACTACCTGGAAAAAGATCCTTTGTATCGTCAGGCCAAAGCCTCCAACGACAACAAAGACCCTTTTTGCCCCTACGGCCAGCCTCATTTTGAGCTTGACTTTGTCTGTCTGTTCGGCAGTGCTTTCCAGTGGCACTATCCTACTCCCAGTAAGGGCAACTATATGACTGTCATGGTGGATCTTGTTCGTCCTGTATCGGAAGGCGGTACTGTGACTCTCCACAGCAGTGATCCCCTGCAGCAAGCCAATATCAATTTGAACTACTTCAATAACGATCTCGACATCATTGCTATTCGCGAGGGTATTCGCTACGCATATGATGTCCTCAAAATGGAGAAGGCTTTAAAGACATCATCGAAGACGAGTATCCATGGCCAATGCCGCTGCACGATGACAATCTTATGAAGAGAACTGTCCTTGATCGCTCCCAGACATCTTTCCATCCTTGTGGCACTGCCCGTCTGTCTAAGAATATTCAACAGGGGGTGGTTGATCCCGGCCTCAAGGTTCACGGCATAAAAAATCTCCGCGTGATTGACGCATCTTGTATCCCTGTCATCCCTGACTGTCGGATTCAGAACTCTGTGTACATGGTCGCCGAAAAGGGCGCCGATGCCATCAAACGCGATCATTCTGATTTCTACAAATAAGCTGACCGAAGTCGGTTGAAGGATATTGGGCGTTATTCAATATGGAAATCTATTTGTAGATGGCCATAACTTGCACGTGTGGATTACTATTTCTCAAATTGAGTATGAAGAACAAATTAAAATACTAGCATCTACTTGAATATAGCTCGTCTGACCCAAAGGAAGGAACACTCCTCTTGGGGTTTGCTAGTAGGTGCTTTGTAGTGGCTCGCTTTTGCAGTGGCTTAATATGGCATGAGGAGATTCTGCAAGCCGAGAGTCTCTGCCTTTCAAGCCCATGTAATTTTTCCTGCCCAACATGACTCGACCTGAACACCTATCCTCGATGGACTCATTCAATTTTTCCCTATAGTCCGCTTCTGTCCCCGCATTTATCTATCTATCAATTACACACAATACGAACATTCAATTAGGGCTCGAAGCATGCTGTAGGGCTTGGGCAGATGAAATACCCTGTTGAGTATCAAAATCTGAGTATGGCGAAGTTCTGCACTAAATTAAAAACTGTTTTTCGAGACAATCCACCAGTTGTCTGCTATGAATGATATTCTCAATCTCTTAAGACAGCCGGGGCTCAGCTTCCGCTATCATGCCGACCCGTGATTTAAGTCTTTTCAAACAATGCCGTTGAAGGATCGTTTATTGGAGGAGGTAACTTGTGTGAAGTACTGGGCTGTTGTAAAAGCAACTCAGTAAACAGAAACGCTTACATTAAAGCCCAAGGACTCTCCCATTCCCATAGAATGAATATTTCACTCTGCAACGTTGAACATTGAGTCAACGACCGCACTTTCAAATATGGAGATATAAATTGCAGCCGATCACAAGTCTGCTAAAGATGTAGTGTACGACTTAGACAGTCCTTTTTATCAAAATTTTTTTTTTTAAAAAAGCAGCCTATCTGATCCCTAACTAGAGCTAGCAAAGGACCGCATCCCATGAGGCAGAACGACCAAATCGATGATGAATAAGCCTCACGATCGGTCTTACCGCGACCGCGGATGTTTTCACAAGATTAGAATACTAAGATGAGCGATCCGTTCTTCAGTACCGAATCCACAAGTTGGTAACTATACTCGAATTAGAAAAGCATACCGGTGGGTGTTTTCGACGATCTTTGAATGAATAACGATGACGTTCGAATTGTTGTAGAGTGGGTCGGTGCAGTCTAACTTTCCCAATTGATAAGGCCAAAAGGCGCCGCCGAGCGGCCACCTTCTTTGAGTAATACTATTGTGCCTATCAGATTCTATAAAAGTTTTACGGTGGAATTCTATCCAAGTTAGACTTTCCGCCACTTATTGAATGCGCGAAAAAAGAATATGTGGGGAAATAATACAAATTGACGCCATGAGCCTCTACGCTCAAATCCAAACATTGACATTTTTTAGAACCCTTATGCTTCTTACTTTAGTCGATGATGCAGAGAGAAAGCTTGTCATCATTTACTCACAGATCTTCAGCAAGCGGGCAGGTTCCGCTCAGTATCGAAGATATCGAGACCGCAGCTATGCCATGCTATACCAAGTGCGAGGAGAAATCCTCCTGTATGTCTATCTTGATGCTTCGCACAATTTGTTCCGTGTTAATATATTATCAGTCGGTTTGTTGCCCAGTGTTTGCGATCTTTGCTTTGAAGATATGGAGTCCGAATCTACCTTTCGTCAGATTCCGTGCAGCCATATATTTCACAAGCCTTGTATTGACGAGTGGATGGCTTCAAAGGATGCTAGCTGTCCAATTTGCCGTCATACATTCCATTATCTGCATAAATCACAATTATCCATTGTCGGGAATGCGGGTCATGGCCAACGACACTATCGCAATTCGGTTAAATATCTGCACAGCTTTTGGCAGTGGACTCGGAAGAGGTTCCATTTCATGTAAATTCCACAATGCAAGACAAGATTAAGAAAGATATTGTAACAATTCCGA